GAATTATGCTGAGTTTGTGGGATTCATGCGTATCCATATGCGCGGGCTCCTCCTGTGGGGTGTTCTCTCTCGCGAGGTACCCTATCCGCCCTGCCCTGTTGCTCCGGTGGCTCATGTTCCACCGGTACCACCGGTACTTGCTCCGGATGCTTCTCGGGCTGATCGGGATGCAGCCAAGGCCCTTGATGCTGCTGCAGTTGATGCCTATGATCAGCAGGTATCCGCTTATTCTGATGCCCTTTCAATCTACCGGGATGATCTGTCTGCTTACACTCAGTGGTGCAATGATGATGCTCGAGCTGTTGTTGTTCTCACTGCCAGCATCCTCCCTCAGTTTGCTTCGGAGTTCATGGCCCTTGGCACTGTTGCAGCGATGTGGTCCTATCTTTGTCAGCGCTATCAGCCCTCTAGCGATGCTTTATACCTCTCTGTGGTGCGTCAGGAGCATGCTCTTCAGCAAGGTGATTCCTCTGTTGATGAGTTCTATTCCCAGTGCTCTGCCATCTGGCGTCAACTCGACTCTCTTTGGAACTTGCCGTTGCTGTCAGACTACACTGTCCGATTTGGAGTTTCAGTGGGTTCACGAGTTCTTATCTCGTCTCCGCTCTGAGTTTGAGCCCAGACGTGCTCACTTGCTTGCTCGTGGTCGTGTCCCTATCTCGGAGGTGCTTGCCGAGCTCCGTGCTGAGGAGACACACCTTCGCTCTGCTGGGTTGCTTCTGGTTTCGTCAGTATTGGCTGCCCGGGCTCCTGTGTCGTCTGCTTGCCTCACTGCTCCGCCGCTCCTGCCTACTCCTCCAGGGGGGCGAGCCGTCCTCCTTATGCTGAGAAGGGCACGTCGCGCCGTGACACCGTCTGTGGTTACTGCTCCCGGCAAGGTCACCCAGAGTCTGATTGTCGCCAAAAGAAGCAAGACCAGAGGCGCTCCTCCTCCAGCGGGCCTCCTGTGTCTTCCTCGACTCCGTCACTCACTGACCAGGACATTGTTTGCCTCAAGCGTCTCCTTGCTTCCTCAGGCTCCTCGTCGACTGGCTCTGCTGCTGCTGTGACCGCATCTGCCTCCTCACCATCACAGGCATCTACACAGTCAGGTACATCTTCGTGGGTTCTTGATTCTGGAGCCTCTTTTCACATGTCTTCTGTTTCTTCCGTGTTGTCTTCTCTCCGACCTCTTGATTCGCCTGTCAATGTTCTTACTGCCGATGGCACATCTCTTCCTGTTGCTAGTCGTGGTATTCTTTCCACTCCATCTTTTTCTGTTTCGGGTGTTTTACATGTTCCTCGCCTTACCATGAATCTTTTTTCCGCTGCCCAACTTACTGATTTTGGTTGTCGTGTCATTCTTGATACCGACTCTTGCTCCATTCAGGATCGTCGCACCAAGGTTTTGGTTGGTGCTGGCCCCCGGCGCCGTGAGTCAGAGGGACTTTGGGAGGTTGACTGGTTGTGTTCCTTCCGCTGCTACCACTGATGCCAGCTCTCATGCTCTTGCCGCCTCTTCGTCTGCATCCTTCCAGCAGTGGCATCATCGCCTTGGTCACATCTGTGGCTCTCACTTGTCTTCCTTAGTTCGTCAGGGCCTCTTAGGGTCTATATCTGGAGATGTCTCCTTACATTGTAATGGCTGCAGACTTGGCAAATAGACTCAGTTACCTTATCCTACTAGTGAGTCTGTATCTCAGCGTCCTTTTGACTTAGTCCATTCTGATGTCTGGGGTCTTGCTCCCTTTGATTCGAAAGGTGGTCATCGCTACTATGTTTTGTTTATTGATGATTTCTCTCGCTACACTTGGCTCTACTTTATGAAATCTCGTAGCGAGGTTCTCCCTATATACAAACGTTTTGCTGCCATGGTTCACACCCAGTTTGCCACGCCCATTTGTACTTTTCGTGTTGACTCCGCTGGAGAGTATATCTATCAGCTGTTGCGTGGTTTTCTCGTGGAACAGGGTACTCTTGCCCAGTTCTCCTGTTCGGGTGCTCATGCTCAGAATGGTGTTGCCGAGCGAAAGCATCGTCATTTGCTTGAGACGGCTCGTGCGCTGATGATTGTTGCTTCCCTTCCACCCCATTTTTGGGCTGAGGCTGTTTCCGCATCCACCTATCTCATCAACATTCAGCCATCGACTGCTCTACAGGGTGGCATTCCTATGGAGTGTCTCATCAGTTGCTCTCCTGACTACTCAGCTCTTTGTATGTTTGGATGCGTCTGCTATGTTCTTCTTGCCCCCCGCGAACGCACCAAACTGACTGCTCAGTCGGTCGAGTGTGTTTTCCTTGGCTACAGTGATGAGCACAAGGGCTATCGGTGTTGGGATCCAGTGGGTCGTCGCTTGCGCATCTCGCGTGATGTGACTTTTGACGAGTCTCGCTCTTACTACCCACGTTCTTCTTCCTCGAGCTTCTCTGTGGACGACCTTTCTTTCCTTCTTCTCCCCGATACACCCTGCTATGTGCCTCATGTGTCACCTCCTCCTCCGGCATCTCTCCTTCCTTCTCATTCACCTCCGACCCCATCTTCTCCCTCCTCCTCCTCCTCTCCAGTCCGTCGCCCTCTCTCACCGTTTCCTCTCCACTATACTCGACATTCTCGTACTGAGGATATTGCCTCTGACGAGCCTTCCACCTCGGGTGCACCTCCTCTCACACCCCCTCCGGTTCATAACCTCCATGCTCGGCCTCGCCCTTCGCCTGATCGCTACTCCCCTGACCGGTACGGTCTCTCTGTCTTGCCTGAGCCCACTTCCTATCGCACTACCATGACTCAGCCTGAATGGCAGCTTGCGATGGCCGAGGAGCTTGCCGCCCTTGAGCGCTCTGGCACATGGGATCTCGTTCCCCTTCCTTCCGGTGTCCGTCCCATCACCTACAAGTGGGTCTACAAGCTTAAGACTCGCTCCGATGGTTCTCTTGAGCACTACAAAGCTCGTCTTGTGGCCCGTGGTTTTCAGCAGGAGCAGGGGCGCGATTATGATGAGACTTTCGCTCCTGTGGCCCACATGACCACTGTCCGCACTCTTCTTGCTGTGGCTTCTGTTCGTCAGTGGTCTATCTCTCAACTTGATGTTTAGAACGCTTTTCTCAATGGCGAGTTGCGTGAGGAGGTTTATATGCAGCCACCACAAAGGTACTATGCTCCTGATGGTATGGTCTGTAGACTTCGCCGCTCTCTATATGGTCTCAAACAGGCCCTCGCGCCTGGTTTGAGCGCTTCGCATCTGTGGTGACCGCGGCTGGTTTCTTGTCCAGTGACCATGATCCCGCGCTGTTTATTCACACGTCTCCTCGTGGCCGGACTCTTCTCCTTCTCTATGTTGATGACATGATCATCACTGGTGACGACACTGATTACATCGCCTTTGTTAAGGCCCGCCTTCACGAGCAGTTCCTTATGACTGATCTTGGTCCTCTTCGCTATTTTCTTGGGATTGAGATCTCCTCCACCTCTGATGGCTTCTACATCTCTCAAGAGAAATACATTCAGGATCTTCTTGCTCGAGTTGCTCTCAGTGATGATCGCACTGTTGTGACTCCTATGGAGCTCAATGTTCAGCTTCATGCCTCTGATGGTGACCCTCTTCCTAATCCCAGTCGCTATCGTCACCTCGTCGGTAGCCTTGTCTATCTTGCTGTTACACGTCTTGACATCTCCTATCCCGTTCACATCTGAGTCAGTTTGTTTCAGCCCCCACCTCTGTCCACTATAGTCACCTCCTCCGTGTTCTACGATATCTTCGTGGCACGATCTCTCAGCGCCTTTTCTTTCCTCGCTCCAGTTCTCTTGAGCTCCGGGCTTACTCTGATGCTACCTGGGCTAGTGATCCCTCTGATCGACGCTCGCTGTCTGCTTACTGTGTCTTTCTTGGTGGCTCTCTGATTGCCTAGAAGACAAAGAAACAGACTGCAGTGTCTCGCTTGAGTACAGAGGTTGAGTTGCGAGCCATGGCTATGTTGACGGCTGAGGTGATCTGGTTGCGATGGTTACTTGAGGATTTTGGTGTGATGGCTACTACCTCGACTCCCTTACTATCAGACAGTACTGGTGCTATCAGTATTGCGCGTGACCCGGTGAAGCATGAGCTCACCAAGCACATCGGTGTGGATGCCTACTTTTGTGCGTGCTGTTGTGCAGGATCAGACTCTCGCCCTTCACTATGTGCCCTCGGAGTTACAGTTGGCTGACTTCTTCACGAAGGCACAGACTCGAGCGCAGCATACCTTTTTCCTCTTCAAACTCAGTGTTGTTGATCCACCATGAGTTTGAGGGGGGGGGGGTTAGATGTGTATAGTCCCTTTTCGATATATCCCCGTTGTATAAGGGGTTTTCCGCACTTTGACACACATATATATGTAATGGCCTTTGGCCCTCAGAAAATGATAGTTGCTCATTATCCAACAAATCTTAAAATATGTTCAACTACAACTGACCCAGTCTGTCAACCGTACTAGCATCAGCAATAAACTCACTTAGACCCAACTTCAACGAGACCTCCCTTGCTTGAACACAATTGAATAAAAGGTGAACAATGTCCTTGGGTCCTTGCTTACATAAACGGGCAAATTCCATTAGTCCCAATATGATGGTTGCCAAGAACAACTCGGACTAGGATCAGATCATGTAGCAGACGCCACCCAATTTTTATTTTTATTTTTACTGGGACATTCAACTTCCAAAGTAAACCCTAGACTGGATTCGGTCTTGACGTTCCTTGCATCGCACGTGAGGCTCTACCTCCGTACTGATGCATCCATTTGCGAAGCGCAGTGCTTGGATTTTTTTTTGATGCGCTACATTTTTTTTAGAAGATTTTGATGCGCTACATTTTTTTTAGGACTGATGCGCTACATGATCGGACCAGATAAGCCCAAAGCTTCGAGCCGGCCCGGCCCAACAATATTTTTTGATATCTCGGCCCAAAATACTAAAGTACTAGATATTCAGTGGGCTCAATATCCACTGAATAGCCCGCCAGGCCCGGCCCGTTAACGAACTGCCCCCGATGTCACCCACTTCTATATGCGCAACCAGTCTCTCACGAATTGTCGCCTTCCACTTGTCTCACGGTCTCCGTCCCCATCTCCCCCTCCGCCGCTCCCGCCGCGCCGCCGGCGACGTCCCCGTCGACAGATCTTCACAGGCGTCCTCCATCATGTACCGAGCCGCCTCCGGCCTCGGCGCCCTCAAGGTCAGCCGTCCCCCGCCCGAAACCCTAACCTCCCCTCCCCTCCGATTCGCTAGATCTAGTGGCTCCGTAGCACCCATCACGCCACGATGCGTCCGATCCGAACGGACGCAGCTCACGAGTCGCGTCGCGATTGGTACCAGACTAGCATCCACGGTTTGGTCACGCGGATTTGATGCGTGAGCGTGTAGTGGAGTCATTCTGGGCGCTGCAAGTAGGAATCGCTGTCTGAATGTTTGCCCTGGTATATCGAATTGGGAAAGCATCGATTTGCGGTGCGAAGATGAGTGTGTGGCGAGTTTGTTTTGTTGCATAGGTTCGTGTAAATATCAGGGAAAGGGTCATCTTTTGCATGTTAGTTGGTTTATTATTGGTGGATGAGTTAGTTCCGATATGGTTGAGTGGAATTGGATGATTCATGGCCTTGATGATATTGCTTTGTTTTGTGCTTTGTCGTTTGCAAATGCATGCTTTGGATCCAGTACCATTCTAGTTGCGTTCTGTTACATTAGTTCTTGTTATGTTTCATGATGCGCCTAGTCAAATGTATGATTCGGAACAGCTTGTTAAATTCCCTTTATGCAATTTGTTTCATTTCATCATTTTCATATTACTTTGAAGTTTGAACGGTCATGATATATTTGCCTGTAGCATGTGCTTGGTTTTTTTGTCAGTGTAAGTATTGTTGGGCTTACTGACCGATGATCGTTTTAGCCTTAGGTAGAGCCATAACCTTGGATGCAGATATACCTTGTGCGGAGGCAGAATATTTCATCATTGAGACAGCTTGATTTGTTGGGCTTTTAATTGAAGCTGTTCACATTTTAGATCAGCTTTAGCTGCATAATCATAATATCAATTGTTTACCACTTGCAGCAGCATGGGGCGGATACCCAACTGTTGAATATCGCGGTTAGGTCTGCTAGCACAAGTATTGCACAGAGGTCATCGGGCGGCTTCTTGGGCTGGCTGACAGGTGCACGTTCAAATGCACTACCCCCTCCAGATTTCGCACTCCCAGGAGTCACTATTCCTCCTCCACTGGCTGATCATGTGGAGCCTGGCAAGACAAAAATCACAACACTTTCAAATGGTGTAAAAATTGCCTCTGAAACATCTCCAGTATGTGTTCCTTACTTTTTATAATTTAGTTATTTCATGCATGTTCCTCATGGTGGTCAGTTAGTGATACCAATGTTATGTATTTTTTATCCAGGGATCAGCATGTTCTGTTGGAGTTTATGTTAACTGTGGGTCTGTATATGAAACACCTGAGACACTGGGTGCCACTCAGTTATTAAAGAAGTTGGCCTTCACAACCACTAGAAACAGGAGCCAGTTGCGTGTTGTTCGTGAAATTGGTGCAATAGGTGGCAGTGCGAAAGCATCAGCCAACCGTGAGCTCATGAGCTACAGCTATGGAGCCCTTAAGACTTACATGCCTGAAATGGTGGAAGTGCTAGTTGATTGTGTGAGAAATCCTGCTTTACTTGATTGGGAAGTCAAGGAAGAGGTATTTCAGCTTAATATTATGCCCTTTCGCTTCTGTACTATAGATTAGTGGAATATGTTCTTTGCTGAATGCAAACTTATTGACTTTGTAGATAATGAAACTAAAGGCAGAGCTTGCAGAAGCTTCAAGTAATCCGGAAGCTTTCCTTTTGGATGCTCTTCATTCCAGTGGCTATTCTGGTGCCTTGGCAAACCCATTGATTGCCTCAGAGGCTTCAGTTAGCAGATTAAATACAGATGTTCTGGAAGAATTTCTTGCTGTGAGATTCATGCCCTAAAATTCTGTTAGTACTATAGTCGTGTGGGTATTCTTGTTAACATGCTATCTATATTTCTGTTGCATGTATGTCAGTTGAACTACACTTCCCCGCGAATTGTTCTAGCTGCGTCTGGTGTGGACCATGATGAACTTGTATCAATTGCTGAACCACTCCTGTCTGACATTCCCACTGCAACTGGAACAGGAAAGCCAAAATCTGTCTATGTTGGTGGAGAATATAGACGGGCAGCAGATTCATCGGTAGGCTTTATGATTTCTAGCCACTCATCAAGTCATTTATGTGATATCTTTCATGACATACATTTGTTCTTACTTTGGTTTCTTCTCAAAAAATAGAACACAGATCTTGCTTTGGCATTTGAGCTCCCAGGTGGATGGCTGAAAGAAAAAGAATTTGCTACTGCATCTGTTCTTCAGGTTCGTATTGAATAGAACACTTCTATTGATGTTGCTACAGCATTCTGGTTTAATTCAACAAGAGCTATTTTATCTTTTACAGGCACTTCTGGGTGGTGGTGGCGTGTTTACCTGGGGAAGACCTGGAAAAGGCTTGCATTCACGCCTAAGTAAGCACACGCTGATGAAAATTATATTGCCAAAAGGACATTATTCAGTTATCTAGCTGATTGTTAGTTTAAGTATCATTTGCTCTTGAGCTGGCTATTCTATAAACTGTAAATTGTGAAAAAAGTGGTCCAACCTTTAGTAAATTCCATCTTTATGGCAACCATTTCAGGCTTGCCGTAACTAATAATGCAGTGTCATGACCACATGCTTTAATTTGATTATTCAGATTCTCGCAGCACAAGAAACTATTTTGTATTTGCATTGGTACTCATATTAGTGCCTGAACTGTGGTATACTTTGTGCAGATCCCCTCGTAAATGAATTTGACCAAATCAAATCGATCTCCGCTTTCAAAAATGTTCACAGTAACACTGGCATTTTTGGAATTCATGCATCGACTGTAAGTATCATTTATGATTTGCATAGGAATACTTGAAAATGATCTCCTTTTATGTTTTTTTTATTTGTATGGTTTTTTTAGTAGTACTATTACTGTACATGCCTTGGATGTGAATACTTGAAAATATATAACTTGGCTTTTCTTTTTCTGGGTAAGAACTTAAATCGTGCAACTCACATATATTATCACTAGATTGGATGAGCTGTTATAGTAATACACAAAAACATAATATTTCATAGTTAAGCTATTGTACTCTGATGACTGATGACTGACGAAGATATCATTTCATAATCAGGAAGCAGCATTTGTTCCTAAAGTTATTGACTTGGCAGCCAGAGAACTCACTTCCCTTGCTACTCCTGGTCAAGGTACCTTAACTGTCCTATGTTCATCAGTCATTAAGTTGTTTACGGTTCATTTAATTGCCTGAAACTTCATCCCATTTTTTGCAGTTGACCAAACCCAACTGGACCGTGCTAAAGCATCTGCAAAATCAGTTATCTTGAAGAACCTGGAATCAAAGGTATGCGTACACACGTGAAATTTTTGTAATCATGACCGATGCTCCACTAACAATTAAACTCTCAGGCATCAACAACTGAAGACATGGGGCGCCAAGCATTGGCATTTGGTGAAAGGTGCAGTATTTAAACATTTCTGCTGAACCTTAATGTTTTTGCTCGTGCCTATGGTTCTATTCCTTGCAAGGTTGAGAAAAACACATTCTGCACTCGACACATTGTAGAATTTATAGGCTCGGGGATGGTGATGTCTACATTACAATTTTAGTTGGTTGATAGAATAATTAATGGCTTGATGATCACAATCAACGTTTACGAGTCGAAGAGTCGACGAGTCGTTCCAAGGTTAAGACTCATAGACTAGTCTAGACTAGTCTAGACTAGTGCGAGACTAGTCGACATGGTACTGTAGCACTGAACTTACAGTACATAACTAATAATACCTAGTAGTAGTATGTAGTATTACACTATATAAGTATACAAGTACAGTATACAATACAATCTCCGGTGTTGTAGACATTGTAGCTCAAACCTCAGGACCTGGAAATTGAAACACACTCAGTCTAGCAGCACCAGCAACCAGCAGCAAGCAGGGCAGCACCACCAAGCAGCAGCAAGCAGAGCAGCACCAACAGCAAGCAGAGCAGCAGCAGCAAGCAGAGCAGCACCAACAGCAAGCAGAGCAGCACGAGCAGTCCTCCAGCAACGAGGCAGAGCAACACCAGCAGCAAGCCAAGAAGAAAGAGGAGAGGAAAGAAAGGATTAGGTCTCGTCTCACGCGGGATGAGCCATCGTATTTATACTCCCCCAGTTTTTTGAGTTGTTCGACTCGAACATGTCGACTAGTCCAGACTAGTCGTCGACTAGTCGATGACTGGCTCGACTCATATTTGTAGTCTACACGAGAAACCGAGTCGACAGCCACTTTGCGACTCATAGACTAGTCGAGCGACTAGTCTAGACTAGTCGTTCGACTCGTAATCGTTGATCACAATGCCATTTTAATTTGTTGCACATATTGTAATCATATTAGTTACCAGGGAGCCCTCTATCTTTAGATATCATTGTTGGCTGCTGGTAATTGGGTTACTGTTTCTCTGGAAGATGATGCCTACTTGTGTTTTCTATCGGTATGACAAGTGATATCTAGAGGAAAACATGTTTCTTGCATGGCTTATTTAGCCAACTCTACCACACTAGCAGAAATTGTAAGTACAGTTAGCAAATGGAAACAAAATATAGTTGATGTTCACATGATCTATAGTGACTTAGTGAGTTAGGAACATCTCTTTGCCACCACAATATTCTTGAAATTTTTTTGGGTGCTTATCTGTATCTTGAAGTGTGTAATGCCTTGTAACAACATAATGGACAAGCTACCGCTTGCTTAATATGTGCTCTTACAATACCATGGACTCGCAAGTTACATCCCATTTTTGCAAGCAAGTAAACTAACATGCATAACCAATGAAGAACCTTGGTCATGCAAATGCATGTAATTTATATGTACAAGCTGGTGATAAGAAAAAGAGTTCCACATATGGTATCTTATTTCTGTATCCCTGGAATCTGTGTAATGTTTGTTTGCCATGTAAAACCTTACAGGAAACCCGTGGAGCAGCTTCTTAAGGCTGTTGATGGTATAACACTGGCAGATGTATCAAGTGTTGCTGAGAAGATCATCTCGTCACCATTGACAATGGCATCTCATGGAAACGGTGAGCGAGTCATCTATAACGTAATGTGTATGAATGCACTGTTTCTAATTCAGCCCCCTGTGTTGTGCAGTTATCAATGTACCAGCCTACGAGACAGTGCGTGGCAAGTTCAGCTCGAAATGAGGAGGCTTCTGAACAAATTAACTGTTCATATTTTTTTCTCCCAAGATCATCTATGGTCACATTTTTCACAAGGAAAATAAGATGGATACAATTTTGGTCATTAACTCCTCTACTGTGGGACAACTTTGGGATCTTATTTTTTTCCTCGCAAAACGTGCTTCCACCTGAGTTGGGTGGTGTGATGTTGTTCTCATGAGATATGTTCCTGTAAATTCAGTGAAATCATGCATGTGTGGCCCTCTTCTGGTGGCAGTCCGGAAGGGTGTACAAAAAGTTCCTCCACTTTTTTTGGTTAAAGTCGTTGAAACTAGTGTTTTTGAATTGTTTGGATTGCTTACCACATGTGTCACGTGGTCGTTGAAACTAGTGTTGGCGCAAGGAAATGAATAAAGATTCAATATGACAGTGAAATTTTGAACTCGCTTTGCTTTCTTTTTTACTCAACAGGGGTTTTGTCTCCGTCCTGAGTTTTGACTGGTAACTCATTATGTTCTTTTTGTCTTGTTTTACCTTGCTTGGTTTTCTTGATTTTTTAAAGGGAAATCAAGCGCACGAAAGAAACCACTCAGCTTCTAGGAGCAGCTGGTGCATATGTGTGGTTTCGAGATAAATTTGTTAGAGAGTGGGCGGGAGCCGGGCTTCTCGCTCGAGTTCCTCGTAATACCGGAGAGGGTGTGCGTCGACGCAAACAAAGACGGGGGCCTCCCATCCTTGACTCCTCTGGCGTATCAGCGCAGATGCCCTCGTGGAATTGGAATGCCCCCGGTCTATCCCCGGGGTAGGCTCGTGGCGGTTGCAGGTTGGTTTGGTTGGTTGACGCGGAAACAACGTGGGAAGAAGAAGAAAAAACCGAACGAGACGCCCGTCGCTGCCGCCTCCTCCGCTGGCCCGAGAAATGGGGCGGCGGTCGGCAGCGGCAGCACATTGGCTTTGACTCCTCGGTGGCCGCACAAGTATCGGAAGCGCCAGCTGTTTTCCGCGACACCAACCAACGGCCGCATCGTGGTTTCCGGACGCGGGGTCCGTACTCCCGCTCTCTGCTTTTTTTTTTTTGAGGGAACGCTCTCTGCTTTCTGTGGTGGACGTTCTGATCGGTCGACTGATAGCCACAGCAGGGTATCACCGACCGATAGCCAAGGACATTGTTGTATTCGCACCAGTAGGGTTCGCCAGGAGTGATCGGTCGATCAATTTAATTACGAGTAGTTGTATATTTAATCGACTCGTGGAGGCGGCTATGTTGTCAGACGTCTGTATGTAACTACATGCTTCAAGTTCAATTTTAAAATGTAACACGGAGGTCGTATCCGACTTTAAAACATGCTTTTAATGATGTTCATGCTGCGTTTGCACGACTAACATACACTCCTAACAAGGCGAATTTCGAGTTGGATTAAGCTAACCAACGCCGTTCGTCTATTTTGCGACAAGAAAAAGTAACAACAATTCAGAGGATCAGTTCACATCTCGACAAGAAGAAAAAGAAAAGAAGGTTGCATCATTTGACCGCACAGAACTTTGAAATTTTTGGAAAAGTGTAAACGTGCATGAACGAACGGGCCATTTTATACTATCCAAACACAGCTTGTCTAAGTGCGGTTGATATGCGCGTGTAACTTTCATGTACTGAATCATCCATTGGCACGCCATGATCGAACTTTATACATAGATCAACCCTTTTTCCTTGCGGGGAAAAGGGCATATACATGAAAACCTTTAGCCAATGGATATATGGAGATGACGATGGGACAGGGATGGAGACCAGGTCATGGAATGGAGAGATAGCAAGGGCATCTCCAACCCCGATCCTCAAACCGCCTGCAACAGTCTGGACAACGCAATCTGCACGTGTATTTGCCATCCAACGCTATCTTGCGTCGGTCCACAGACCGGGTTGGATGTGT